TTAAAATTATTGTAAGCTCCATGTACTTATCTGTTTCTTGTTGAGTGTCTATTAAAACTAATTTGGTATGTAAGTACTAGGGTGAAATAGATGAAAAATCTCTGGGGGGTTTTGTAACACTGGAAGTTGTGGTGCCTGCACAGTGACTTGGCTGGGTCACCAGGTTTGGAGGAGGTGTGCTAGGTGGGGCATGAGGAGAAGATGAAAGCAACAAATCTTAGGAATGTGCCTGTGGCACAAAAGACAAGTGCTTATAGAAGAAATGATTAGTCAGAAGAAGTTTAGGAAGAGAGATTACTTCTGTATACTAGTTGAAACAAGCATTTTCTTTGTGATATCAACACACATACTTTTTATCCTCTCAAATCTTCAATTTTCTATGCTCATTTCAATGCAGAGGACCTTTCTGCTGATTCTCTGCAGTAAGTTGCTGGTGCCACCAGATCAACCAGAGTCATGGGGACAGGGAGTCTTCCAGTAGCCAGTACCTGGCCCTAGGGATTACGTGCAGACACTTTCCTTTTTCCATCAAATTTGCAGTTAGTCTCAGTTCCTGTCATCTCTAATGAGCAACACCAGTAACTACCAGAGTCTGGGAAAATTGGTGTAACCCATATATGTCTGTCTTGGATCAAGCGCTTGGAGCTAAGGTATGGATCTCAACCTCTTCTCTGTGCTTCCGTGCAAGAGACGTTAATTCAATATGTTGCATATTTTGCTTGCTCCAGATAGTGGAAGTTCTTTAATTGCTGCTGGAGTCTACGCTGAACATGTGCATTAGGGTAGAGCATTGGCCCTAAGAGATATTTTCAGCATAGCAAGAATCATAGAATCGTAGAATGGTCTGGGTTGGAAGGGACCTTAAAGATCACGTAGTTCCAACCCACCTGTCATGGGCATGGACACCTTCCACTAGTCCAGGCTGCTTAAAGCCCTGTCCAACCTGGCCTTGAACACTGCCAGGGAGGGGGCATCCAGAACTTCTCTGAGCAACCTCTTCCAGTGCTTCACCACCCTCAGAGCGAAGAATTTCTTCCTTGTATCTAATCTATATCTACCTTCCTTCTGCTTGAAGCCATTGCCCCTAGTCCTGTCACTACATGCCCTTGTAAAAAGGAGTAGTAAAGAGGAAAGGAGTGCAGATACAGGTCTCTTGTGGTAGATGTAGCACTGGCTGCATGGCTACTAGACCCAGGATGATACAAAATGCAGACGAGATTACTATTAATAACTTTCAGCCACATTTATTGTAGCACCAAATTGTAGCCATTTTTGACTTCATAATGTTCAGCATCTGTGACCTGATGTCCAGTTCTGCAATATTTTTTGCTGCTGTCTGCTCAGACATTGTCCCTGCAACTAGATGGACTTGTGGGTGGTATTCTTTAAAAGCTCTGATTCAATTCCAGAATTTTGGTGTTGCAGAAACATCTTGTAACTTCTGACGGTTACTTAAGTACAGTTTTTTCTGAGACACATACCATTTTTAATGTAATAGTCAATTAAAGGTTTGAGCTGTCCCTTAGAATTGGGTTGCTCATCTTCTATCTGCAGTACCAACAAAGGATGTTTGATTTTAGGAATTCTTGAAAACCCATGCTTTCTAGTGTTACTCTGGAAGATAGTGCGGTTTTTACACTGCATTTGGAAATTGCAAACAAAATATTCCTTGCTGCCCTCCTCTGTATTCTGCCAGAATCTTACAACTGTCCACATTTTAAGAGATTACCTGAGGCCTAAATGTTCCTTTGGTTGTTTTTTTGAACCATTTTCCCTGCAGATTTCTGTTGTCCCTCTACAGGAAACAGAACTGTAAAAAAAATAAAGGCTGTATTATAAAGGGCAAGTAAATCCTCACAGCTTTGCATGAGGTTGTGTATACATGTAAAACCAAAACCAAAGCTGAGGTAATTTCAGGTTATGCTGCATTTCTACAAAAAATATTTAAAACCTCAAAGCTGTGTTCTTATAATAGCAACAGCCATGGAAAGGCCCTTCCCTGACCATATCCCGTATAATGATTGAAGGATGTAGCCCTGCAGTTCATGCTTCTGAGACTGGGCTGTCTTGTCCCCTCTAAACCCTGTATTTATTTGGGCTCTGAACTATTCTGACTACAAGAGGCCTCACACTGGTGCAAAGAGCTGCCCTGACAGGCTTCTCTGTAGTATCGGGGTTGTAAAGGTTTACTGCTAAGTCCATTTCGTAGCGTCATAGAATCATTAAGGTTGGAAAAGACCTCTAAGATTGAGTCCAACCATCAACCCAGTGCCACCGTGCCTGCTAAACCATGTCCTGAAGTGCCACATCTGTGCATTTTTTGAACACCTCTAGGGTTGGTGACTGCACCACTTCCCTGGGCAGCCTGTTCCAGTGCTTCACAACTCTTTCAGTAAAGCAGTGTTTCCTAATATCCAATCTAAACCTCCCCTGACGCAACTTGAGGCTGTTTCCTTTTGTCCTATCACTGTTTACTTGGGAGAAGGTTCCAACACCCACCTCGCTACAGCCTCCTTTGTGCAGTTTCAAGGGAGCATATTGGACTTGACCCTAAGTTATGTCTGTTCTAGTAACAAACACGGGGTTAGCAGGGATGCTCGGCAGCATCCTGCAGCTGTTCCTGCTGCCCTGCGGTTAGCCTGGTCCTGGGGCACTGCTCTGGCCTGGGCCAGCCCGCCGTCTCCCAGACTGCGTTGGGGCATGGGTGTCAGGGGATGGGGCAGGAGCTGCTCCCCTAGGCACAGCGGTACACGCGTCCTTGCCGAAGAGAGCTTAGCTTGGATTGACATAAGAAGGGTCCTTGGCCTCATTAATTTAGCAGCTTAGATACAGCGCCAAGGTTTAATTTTGTATTTCAGAAATTTTGAAGCATCGCTGTGCGTTTGCCGCAAACAGTATGTCCTAATAATGCATTCTGACACGCCTGGTTTTGGGAGGAGGAAAGGGCAGGTTAGCAAGCCCAGCGCTGCCCTGCTTTGCTGTCTGTCTTCCCCAGCAGTAATGTTTTAAACAAGCATAAACTGTCCATGTGCGTTAGGCTGCTTGTGGAGTGCGTTGGGCTTCCTTTGTGGACACAAAGGTGCTGCAGGCTGGAATGAGGTGCGCTCAGCCGCAGGTCACTGTGCGGCGGGATTAGGTACTTGCTGTAGTGCTGACAGCTGCATTCTCCAGAAGCCCCATCCTCTGTCTCGTGCCCGTGTGTGTGTACGTTTCATAGCGGTACAAAGAAGAAAAATGCCTCATCTCTTTGGTTATATAAATAACTCAGTGTCCAGATTTTTATTACCAGCTATTTTTAATTGGCTAACAGTTGTTGTCAGTGATGTCACAGTTCGAGAAACATTTGTAATGTTTGCTCTGATGTTTTTCTCCCTCTTAACCTCATTCTATAGAAAAAATACACATGGAAAGCAAAATTAAATTATTTTTCTTACTGTACAGTTCTTAATAACTGTATACAGAATATGCAAATACCTCTCTTGGTTGGCTGCAGTAGTCCATCTGTTCTGACAGTATCTCATACTAGATTATACAAGTATCTAGCTTTGCTGCAAACCTCTACCAGAAGCAGAAAGAGGCTATGTTTTCATGAGAGCAAGAAAATCTACACTAAGCAATCGAAATAGGCTTCAAGCTGCTAAAAGATTACTTATGTGCCTAGGGAAAAGAAGTAAACAATCTTTCTCTGTGTGCTGCTTTCACTGTAGCCTTTTCAGAGCCCTCTTTTCCTTATCCAAAATGCCTCCTTTGCCTGCCAGGAATGAGGATAATTAAATGTCCTTTAAGTGGTGTGTAAAGCTGTATGAGAATACCTATCCTCCTGATCCAGGTCCGTATAGTAAATATGAAAGAGAACAGTGCTGTCAGGCGTGCTACTTCACCGCTCCTGAGACTAGCTTTAAGGCGGAGACTTGAAATAACCAGTTTTCCCCTGCAGTGACATATGCAGCATCCTTACAGGCATCTCCAGCAGCACGCCTGCCTCTCGTGTCTGCTATTTATACAGTAGTGCAACTGAATTGAAAATCAACAGCCTTACACAGATTAATTTTAAAGCAGTGCTCTGGTTTGTGATTTTAGAAGGCAGCTCCCAATAAAAATGTAAATTTAAAAGAACCCTAGAGTCCTTTCTACTGACCCAGTGACAACTGTATTTTGAACTAAAACTGTTTTCCATTGTCCTCAAAGGGTTTTTTTGTGCCAATATATGATTATTACTTCACTGAAAAAAAATATACAGTTAATTTTTTTTTCCTGACGGTGCTGAGGATGAGATGACCATCAGTACTAGCTGTTTCTTTTCCCCACTCCCTGGATATTTTCCTCTTATGATAAATAGAAATTATGGAGAATTATTATTTAACGGTTTTCTTTGCAGTGTTGAATAATGTCTTTGTATAAATGCTATTACAGCATGTGTATGATTTGTGGTAAAACAATGCATGTTTCAATGTGTTAGCCTCCTTTCAGACGAACTTCAAGACTTGGAGAGCTATCTGTGTCTCCTGATAATTTTTTTCTGAAGTGTAATGCTTTTAAAAAGCAGATCTGATTATTCACATTAGTCTCCACCTTTCCTTCCCTTTTTCTTTATTGCGTGAGGCATTAGCATGGAAACACGCTTCACATTTCTCAGGCTTTTGTCTGTTCCTGCTGCTTTGCCTACTGGAAGTCAAACGGTGCTACTTGGTTTCTGACATAACTGATTACTATGGAAATTATTACCATGTCATAAACAGAGGATTTCTTGTGTCGAATGTGCGGCAGGAACGCAGATGATTCTGTAAGCAGAAGGTTTCTGGTAATAAGGAAAAAGGGAAGAGAAATGCAGAAAACACATGATGCCATGCAAAATCCATTGTTGCAGATTCTTTTTCAGAAGGCATAACCTTCAAGAGCATAGGGATCGAGCAGCTCGCTGGGTTTTTTTGTTTTCAAATGAGTAAGAAGATAAATGTGCATTTGTGCTTCAGGGAGTAATTATTTTATTTTGACTCCAGCAGTTGGCACTGCCCAAAGCGATTTCCGAGGGCATTCGATGTATGTCCCAGATCACTGTTCCACGCTAGGGAGACTAGACAGCTACCGCTCCGCCGTGCAGCGCTCTGAAACCAAGGACACCAGCTGCCAGACGGAGGAAGTTAAAGTTGTGCCCCCTTCAATGAGAAGAATACGAGCGCAGAAGGGACAAGGCATCGCAGCCCAGATGTCTCAGTTCTCCAGCTCATCTGGAAACATGTCAGTGATGAGTGATTCTGCTGCAGTTATATTTGCTTCTCGCCAAAATAGCGACATAGGTTTTCACAGCTTGCCTCGGGCTGGTGCAAGAGTGTCTCTGCAGTCCCTAGAGCAGACACAGAGCATCTCTAGGCAGACAGAAGACGTCGCTGGCACTTTACCCCACCAGATAAGTAAATTGCAAGTGGATGATGGTGTTGCGCATCTGAGGAACAATCCCACGACGGGGACCCTGTTGAGGCCAAAGTCTCAAGAGGTGAGAAGCTATGACAGCGAGAACTCCGCAGGCCCAGCATGTGTGGTTTCTCCTCATGCCACCTACTCCACGAGCATCATACCCAATGCAACACTGTCATCCTCCACAGAAGTTATTGTTATTCACACTGCCCAGAGTGTTGGATCGTTGGATAGTAAAATTACTAGCTCCGCTGCCTACCCAAAGCCAAGAGACAATCCTGTTGCCAGCAGCGCAGTAAGTGGGAAAGAAGATCACCATTCTTCAAGTGGTAACTGGAGCGAGAGCAGCTCCACACGTCACTCACAGACTTCAGATACCATCCCATCTAGTACTGTCGTGATGCTTTCTCTTGGTGACTCTGCTGTCTCTCTTAGCACTCCTGGAAATGCAGAGACTGGGTCTCAGAGCGTGAGCTACAGCTGTAGGAACAATCTTGCTTTACCAAACCCTTCCCAGGACAGTGATGGTAGGAGTGAATCTAGCTACTCAGGGGAGCGAGCACAAGCAGCAGTGAACAGCACAGACCATTGGCTCTACAAGTCTGCAGAAAACAGTGAGACTCCTTCACGCAAGGTGGTTTGTACCACACCAGGCTGTGCCACTCCTGGTAGCAACCTGAGGAGCAGCAGCCTGGAGAGGACTTCAGCCAGGGACGATTCTACTTCTCTCTATTCTGTGGACCACGACGAGTATTACAGTTCCGTGCTTGTGGACTCCAGACTGAAGTCAGACACGCCATGCGATAGTACTAATGGTTTTGGGAAGCCCAGAGACAGCGTGATAAATGTCTTTGAAGGAAAGGAGAAGAAACATCAGGATGACCAGACAGGCCAAGGTGACAAATCCCTTGCAAGAAACATCTCTCTGAAAAAGGCAAAGAAGCCACCTTTGCCACCATCCAGAACAGACTCACTCAGAAGGATGCCCAAGAAAAAAGCCCAGTCCAATGGACAGGTACTTGATGAAACCCTCATTGCCACCCTCCAGCATTCTCTGCAGTTGAATCTCAAGTGCAAAAATGGCAGCTCCCCTTCGCAGAGCCCTTGCAGCGATTATGAGGATCCCTGGGTGTTGCGCTCCCGCAGCCAAAGCTCGGTCAGTGCAAGCAGCAGCATGATGTCCACCACTGCTCCAAACCTGTACTCCATCTGCACTGTCACTCCCTCTCAGAGTGAAACGAGTAGCATCAAGTCGGAGTACGCTGACCAGTGGGGTTACTACAGCGACTATGCCGCAGCGGCAGACGACCAGGTAAAGTCCCCAGTGACCCATTCTGCCAGCACATCATCTGCTCTCAGTGATTACAGCGTCAGCCACTTCAGTGATGGCTCGAGGGCTTCTGTGCCACAAGTGCCCAGTGGACCAGCCAAACCAAAGAGCGCTTCTCCGGAGAAATCCCACCGAGTCACATCGCCGTCGAGTGGGTACTCCAGCCAGTCCAACACACCCACTGCGCTTACTCCAGTGCCTGTACTTTCAAAATCTGCATCATCAGGAAATGGGAAATCCAAGCTGAAGCCAAAAGTGCCTGAAAGGAAATCCTCTCTTCTGTCTTCAGTCTCCATGTCTTCATCTTCCACTTCTCTCTCTTCAAATACATCTACTGAAGGGAGCGTGAGTGTGAAGAAATTGGACCCCACCCTGAGCTCTCCTCCGGATTCTGGTGCACCTCCTCTGCCACCCCAGCTTCCAGCACCTCCCATGCATTGCCCCGAACTTTCTCCTCCCCCTCCCCCTCCTCCAGCAGAAAACATGGATCTCTCGCCATTGCCAGCCTCTCCCACATTCCCCCCTCCTCCACCAGAAGCTGATGTCAGTTCTTCCTTCGTCCAGACTGTCCCATGGTTTCCACAAGAGGCCTCCATGAGTTCGTTCTCTTCCTCTGTTCCTCCACCTCCTAGTTTCCCCTTAGCTGTCCCACCACCAGCACCGCCTCTTGATCCCAAACTAACAAAAGGTGCAACAATATACCCACAGTATTCTTTTAAGAAACGTAACCAGGAAGATTCTTGCTACAGTCCAGTGAAGCAGCTGCTCAACAAACAAGACACATCGAGACCAGTGATGCCCTTGGTAACCACCAAAGCGTTGCAAATGGTGCAGCTGAGGTCTGTGAAAAAAGCCACAGAACGTGAACCACCACCTGAATCTGCTTCTGAAGCCACCTCTCAGGAAAAGGGTATTGTAGATTCATCATCACAGTGTTCCCTAAAGCCATCTCTCTCTCTCAGGCTCAGTAACAGCTTAGGTGAAGAGGAAATGAAAACTCAAGGCACTTCATTTAAAAACTCAGTTCAGACGCTGGCTCGGGGTTCTCCTCTCGTTCTCTGCGATAACACACCAGCGCTTGACAGCAATCAAAAGCCTGCGAGTACGGTAGGTCTAAACAAGTCTTTGGAAGCTGATTCACTGGGGACAGCTACAGAATGCACACCTGAGTCTTCGGTGCAGAGTGACGACCTCTGTTCTGGCATGTCACTTCAGGGGTCACCAGCATCTCCCGACAAGGCTCCGGTTGTATTACCGAGCAAGAAACCACCTCCCATTTCAAAGAAACCCAAACTGTTCCTCGTTGTACCACCTCCACAGTTAGATCTTACAGTGGAAAAAATAGCTGGAGTGAGTGATACTGTCAGAAGCACATCAAGCCCAACTAAGAGAGACGCTGTGCTTGCACACTGCGAGGAGGCGAGAAATTGTCTTACAGATGGACTCAGTTCTAGCGAGATGGACTCTGGCAGCCTGGTTCCTGAGGGAGGAGCTGTCGGATTCACCTTCTCCGAGACCGTGGGAGCTAATGCCTTTGTGGTACAGCCTGCTGCATCACCAGTTCAAGAAGAACCCAGGCAGGAGGAGCAGTCCGCTTTCGACGAAGGAAGCAGTTCAGGCAGCAGCCAGGACAGCGGCAGCAACGCTGACGGGCACCTGTCTCAGGAGAACGAAAGTGGTGAGTCTCTTTTCTCTGACTCTTCTTCAGATGCAGCAGTAGCTATATTAAAGACGCTGGGGAGTGAGAATAGCAGTCCTAGCATTCAGGTGGGCTTCTGTAGAGAAAAGAGCCTCTTGCGATAGTTAAAACTGAAAGCCTACAGAAAGTCGCAGGGATCAGATTAATACTTCATGAGATTTCTCGTAATTCCTTTCTGACTTCTCGTTATTGCAGACATAGAAAGAAGATTGTGCTTTGTTTAACCGTGCTAGGATTAAAACGTGCGATGAAAACATGTTCAGCTTTGTTAACTTTGATTTTGCGTTTTAGTGGAAACGATACAGATTTTCTGTCAGCGTTGTTCTCCACCTGTGTTTGTGGGCAAGCACAGGCATTCTCTGCACCGCTGTTCACTAAGCAAGCCCTGTGCTGAAATCACAGTAGTGACAGCGGTGCGCTCACTGGGTCTCGGATGCTTTGCCTTAGCGGCAGCGCGGGCTGGTTTCAGGGTGATCTGCCTGTTGGGTTCCCACCGACGGACTGACAGTGTTGTTCGTTCTCTCTGCGTAGTGGAGGTGTTTGAATCGGATACAGCAAACGGCTCGTTCCTGCCGAGCAGTAGTTATGGGGAAGATACGGACGGAGTGGCAACACCAGCAAGACCAAGGACTACTGAGGATCTTTTTGCAGCCATTCACAGGTACTGCAGAAATTGCCCTTCCAGTGCTGTCAGGTCCAGTAGTTCTCTCAAAAATTATTTTAACATTGTTTTATTAAAACACCCAATTACAACAGTCATTGCTTTAACAGAAAGCACACACTTATCAATTTTCTACTAAGGCTATATATGAAAAGGATAAGGAAAAGAACTCACATTTTACTGTTTTACAAATGTATTTAATCCATTCTGAATTAAAAGCTACCAGATTAAATGAATGTGTAGATGATATTATAAATATCCTGCCCCTTAAAATACCAAGTTACGTCTAGTATTTATTGTACTGTTCTCAATCTGCCATATTAACTCTACTGTTGCTTTTTCTGTGTATCCTTTTGTTTTCATTCTTGTTCTTCTCCATCTCTTTTTACTCTCTTCGCTGCTTATATGGTGCAGTTTGGGACAGAGGCTCAACGCTAATGCTTCATGGCAAGCGTGGCTGAAACTGGCAAGTAACACAACATGTCAGTCATATGGCAAAACATATGGCAAACGCTGGATTATAGTTTGCCATAATCCAGCCTGAGGTCGGGTGTTTTGTGTCAAACTGGTTCATGAATGAAATGTGCAATACTGGCTCTATTATTAATGACATTCTTCATTTCCCTTAAAAACAAAATCATCCTGAATAGGTAACTAGATTTTTGTGCTGTTCACATTAGGTTGTCAAAAAAAGCAAAGGAAAAAAAGCTTAAAACCACAAAATGAAACGTGTGCACCATTTAAACAGTACACACAGAAGGCCATTACCACTCTGAACTACTGTGCTCCCTTCTAGGCTAGAATCGACGTAGTGGTAGTGCCATCTTGCGGCTTTGTCTTTTACTTCAAAATTTAGAGGGGCCATCTCTTTTAACTGGTCACGGAAAGCGCTTGGCAGCATCCGTACGGGTTTGTCTCGGGGTTCACTCAGTTTGCACGTCTGTGCGCGAGGTCTGCATCGGGAGCACTGAGGGGTGGGAAGAGCCTGGTGTGAGAGCGTGGCTGGGAGACTGCAGCACCTGGGATGCAAATGCTGCTTTTATTTTTGAAACGATTCTCTTTCAAATGTTACAAAAATTACGTATGTATGATACTGACTTTTTAGAATTTACAGTTACCCCTTAGGACTAGGCCTGTAGGAGTGGTTCTGAAAATGGCCTGTTGCATTCGAGTTGCATGGCTCTCACTCGGACTGCGACACATCTGTTTTTAGAATGAAGTATGCTGACCAGTAGCCTTTCTCCTTTATGTATGCAGATAGGGAGTGGATCTCTGTGTGTATGCACACACTTTGAATTCATGATTTTATGGGGAAATGGACAATGAAACTGGATGTGACATAGTTAAAACCGCTTGACACATGTCTTATTAAGACCTTGCTTTTGCTGGCTTTAGACTTGAACCACTATCTTCATTCATTGTTAATTAATAAAAAAACATTTTGGTTTTCCCCTCAGTATTTCTAAAAGGTATTATTTCAGTGATTGGCACTCTTGATTGTGGGCTTTGGAGTAAGACAAGAAATTAGTGGTATGTGCATTAAGGGCAGGAAGAACAATCTAAGTTGGCAGTTTTGTTTGAATATATACCCTATCTCTGTCTGAAAAGCCACCAAAACCAAATTTGGTTCTTAATTTTAAGTTTCTGCCACAGTTCATACATACTGAGAAAAGCTGGTTAGATGCTGACAGCAAACTGATCACTCTGCACTGCATTCACAGTCTTACTGAATTACTTCAAGCCAGAATAACTAAGTCTTTCCCTGCAGATCTTTGCAATTGAATTTTGCTTTCCATTTATTTGGAATTTCATTTGAGTTTTGGCAGCAGCACAGCCCCAGTGTTACAGTGTTTAAAAATACCCACAGACAGCCAAAACCCTAATGAAGGGAAATCTTTCCCTGTACCTAATGCGCACACGTGTTCGCATGCGGACTCGCAGGGCAGCCAAGCACCAAATACACTTGGTGCCTACGCCACCGACACACGGTTGAATCTAGGCAAGGCTCTTACGCTTGCCAGTGCTGAAGTCACCGCTTTGTTCCTGTGCTATCTGCTGGTGTCCATTCATCCTTGGGCTGAATGGATGTTGGTATTACACGCTTCCTCTTCCAGAAAGGCAGGGGGAGGCAGCAGCAGCTGAAAATGGCAGCTGTTACAGCTGCCTGTGGGCGGTATCAGAAATGAGATGTGCATAAACTTCACCACTTAACAGAGACAGGGTCGCTCCACAGTCTTGGGAGAGTTTATGGCAATGTTTGTTGCTGCCACCTACTCTGCTGATGGATCCTGCTACTTTGTTTTCTGGGGTTTTTTTATTAGCAGTAGGCTGCAATGCATGAAGACATTTGAGCTTGCCTTGGCAAGATCTCAAGGCCTTTAAGAAAGTACAGCTAAAGATTATGTTATGTAGAAACCTGTTTTACAAGGGGAATGGCCTGTATTGAACACATGCTTGATAAAAATTAATATGGAATTATAGCATGATAATCTTGTATTTACAACAAGTCTGCTGACTTGTTTTAAGCTTTTGTCAATATAGCATATGTAAAATTAGCCTTTACACAGTTTTTAAAATTAATTCTTGCTTAGTCTGCAAAGAAGCAAACCAACTTTGTTACAGAAACCAGGCATGTAATACATCCCTTTCTTTAAGACTTCCAATAATTTGAAAATGGGGCAATAGAAGTCCAGTTTCCACTTACTCCCAGTTCCATGATTGTTTCTTAATTTTGTTTTTGCTATCCCTCCACTTTACATTTAAATTAAAAAACACTCCGCCCTTTCATTTGGAAAGGTAACTTTCATGTCAGGAAGTTGGTATCTCCTTCATTTAGTCAAAGAGTTGCAATGACAGAGCACCAACAGAACTGTGAATTTTGTCTGTGCGTCTTAGTAGAGGCTGGAAAACTCAGAGTTTTCACTATTCCTTTAATGTTTGGGCTTGGAGGAAGATTTTTTTAATATTATTTAATCCAGAGTGATTCCATGTGGCTCACTTCATCTTAACTTAAGCAGCAGTGCATTGCAATATCCTTTTTTGAAGGCAAGTGCACTAAACTACACTTCTAATTCTTCAGAGAGCATCAAGTGAAATAGTAAAACAAAATAAAATGAAATAAAAAACCCCAGCATACTCTGGATGATGTATTTTTAATCAAATCCCCTAACTAGCAGACAAATGGCATTGAGTATAATCTTCATAATGCATCAGTCTTAACAGTTGACTCCTGACTCCACAAAACTCGATTCACTAAATTTGCTAAAGTGTTTTGGACAGAAGTATTGCCGGTTTTAGTAGTTTCATTGTTCCAGATTTTCACAAAAAGAACAATAAACTTATACTTCCAATACCCACATTAATGCCTGTACAGTTTTGGTGGTGTTCTTACTCATGCGTTAGATGTAGATTACTTGTCCCTTATCTGTCGCTTTGCTTTAGCTTAAGTCATTGTCATCCCTCTAAGCTGCGTTTAGTTAGGGGAGTGAAAAGTTTCATTTTTTGTTTGTTCCTCTCTGTTGTTTTTCAAACTCAGATCCAAAAGGAAAGTCCTTGGCCGTAAAGATTCTGAAGACGACCGTACCCGCAACCATTCTCCATCGCCCCCCGTAACTCCCACTGGTGCTTCCCCAACCTTAGCTACCCTCAGACAAGCCGGATCGATTCAGAGAAGCGTTCGCAAGAGCAGCACCAGCAACGACAACTTCAAAGCCCTGCTGCTGAAGAAAGGGAGCCGCGGTGACACCAGTTCCCGCATGTCCGCAGCAGAGATGTTGAAGAACACGGACCCGCGGTTCCACCGGACAAAGGCGGATGCCTCCCCGGACCTTTCCGACAGCCCTGCCAGCTGCTCACCCAGCAAGAGCAAACGGGCCCAGGAGGAGTGGGCCAAGAGCGAGGGCCTGATGCCAAGGAGCATGTCCTTCTCTGGCACTAGGTACGGCCGGTCACGAACGCCCCCCTCTGCTGCCAGCAGCAAGTACAACGTCCGCAATCGCATCCAGAGCAGCCCCATGACCGTCATTAGCGAAGGAGATGGGGAAGCGGTGGAACAGTCAGAGGGCAGGGCCCGAAGGACTTTGGAGGAGCAGCAGGAGAGGCAGCTTGATATGTTCAACAGTGATGAAATGGACCTGAATGACTTTCCATATGCTGAGGAGGCAGGCTGCAAGGAGACCTTGGATCCAACCCCTCTGGACTTAATGACAGAGCCAGGTACTTCGAGGAAGTATCTAAGCCCTTCAGCTGAAGACAGTTAAAAGGCAGTGACAAAAGCATTGGATATTAATCTAGAAAATGACAGAGGACTAGATTCCAGAAGAAAGCCCAGACCAGGACAAGTTTACTTTGCTGAGCATTTACTCCATGAACTGCATGTGTGTGTTTAAATGCTGAAGCAACGATAGTTCTGCATGGTTGGGTTGGGGTGGGGAGGACTTGCTTTGAATGAGTGGTCTGTGGCTTGAAGAAAGTTAACAGTTGAATTTTTTGTGTAAAGCCTTAGAAGTCCTCTTGGGGCGGGGGGAGGGGAGTTTTCACAGAGCCTATAGGGGTGTGAAGTTTTCCTTTTTCTTGAGACTGCAATTGTGCAAGCATAATTTAGGAATCAAACCTAAAAAAGAGGAATGGGAGGGCTTCTGTGCTACAAGCTGGACGTTTGCTTCAAAAGCATGGTAGAGGTGCAGCATAGTGCATTTGTTAAGCAGAGGGAGGCAGGGTGAGGCACATTCACCTCTGAGAAGGTAGGAGGGTTGGTGCTGGGGTCGCGTGACTTATGGTTGGGGTGTGCCCCAGTCGAAGATGAAGCGTGTCCTGCTAAAGCAGCTAGGTCACCAGGTGATGAACTGGTCCGGGGTACTGTGTTGTTTTTTTCTTTTCCTGAGGGAAAACAAAATACATAGTGAACGTGGAAAAGGGAGCCGAGTTTTATAACACGCTACTGGCTGCTGTGCAGCCACACACGTACACTTGGTGAAACACTCGTTGCCCAGTGAATTGGTTCCTTGACCAGAGTATTCCCTTAGAGAACTGGAACAACTGGAGGTGTGTGGAGAATGCGAGCAGACGACAGAAAGGTGGGAGAGGAGTCCAGTGGTGTACTGCCAGAGTTTGGAAGGGTTGTGTTTCTGAGTTAGAAAGCAAAATTTGACCTGGAGAACTTGCACTACAGAGCTGTAGTTGGAGCCTGTCTTTCAGAATTGAAACTTGGGAGTTGTGTTTTGCCAGAAGTCTTTCTTCCATTTGTCAAAATGGGAAGATTATTACTTTTCATCACTTGAAATACAGATACTGGCTAATTTTTGGTTACCAAAGAGTAAGTTACAGTTACTTTCCTTCTTGATTTGCCTGCAGTATTTCTCTTCTTTTTTAAACTTAATAATTTAGTGAGGTTTGTTTTTATTGTATATTTTACAGATAATAATAAACATTTAACGGTTTTCCAATTGTAAAGAAGACCATTAATTAAAACTGAAATACTGGCTGGAGTTTTTGGTTCTTAGTAGGAATGAAGCTTTTAATTTTTAAGAGGAATTTTGCATCATTTGATGGCGTGCGCAGTTTTTGTATTGTTTGTAAATATTGAAAGTTGTTCAAATATCTTCTGATCTCCCTACCGTAGAATTTATACATTTTTAGATTGCTTTTAAGAAGAAAAAAAGTACTCTTTGTAGATTATTTATTTTAGAGAAATATGCTTGTAATCTCTTTCTTCAATCCTTTACTTGTTAGTAATGTAAATTTCAGGGGCCTTCGTTTAACTCTTCCCTTCAGAAGAGGGGAACAGTGATGAAAATGCTGTGACTTTGCTTCAATAAAGAAAAAGGCTGCCAGTTGCCATATTGTCTTTTGAGTTGGCTAAAGTCTCCTTCAAAAGATGTCTCCCTCAGCGTGTGGCAACCCACTGAATGCCATAAACCATGCATCCAGCTACTAATCTCCAGTTTACGTTGCAAAATTTACTAATTTGCTTCAGAAACCACTAAAGCACACTTACATGTCCATCCCATTTTCGCATCTCAGTACTGACACTAAAAAAATCAAAATAATTGTAAGCTTTTTCCGGTATCATTTGTGAGCGTTTCTGCTACTTCTCTCTTACTTGCAGACTGTCCCAGAAAACTAAAATTCCTGGAGAACCAGATTATAAGCAGCCTGAGTGAGAAGTGAAATGAGGTGGGGAAGGGGAATCCAGCTGCACTCACTGGAACAAGGGTGGGATTAACTAGTGCACCGCAGACTTTCTGCTGTTTTGGAGTGCTACATATATGTAAAGAACTATGGGATTTTTTTAATTAAATGAAAACCTAACCTAGATCGTTTCAGATATTATCAGCATTGATCAGAACTACATACTGTTGCAAAGAGATAGTGCAAAACATTCTGCAGCTGCTAAGTGTCTCGTGAGTGTCGCTTGGGTGTTTCTCCTGGAGCTGATCCCGTGAAGCATCGAGCACTGTGTCCTCTCCACAGCATGTACTTTCCCTTTCAAAGCTATGTGTAAATGCTAACAAGTCCTCATGCCACCATCCTGACAGGAAAGTACTCAGGCTTTGTTTTATTGTTTACAAATGGGGAAATCATCCAAGTGAAAAATTGCAGCACTGGAGAAAATCACAGTTCTGGTGCCTGCAGCTTCTGCAGTAGGTCGCAGCATTTTGCGTGACGTGCCTGCAGGAGGGAGCCTCGCCAGCCTGCTTCCCTCATGGTGGTCAGCTGACGCTGCCCGTCGGTTCTGTGGGCTGCATGGGGAACTCCTTGGAGAGTCCCAGCTTGTATGCGCCCCATCTTGTCAGCGCAGGTAGGTGAGATTAAACTTCGAGGCAGCATAGGCTGAATTTCTTCTCTGGCCCCAGGTGGCCTTGGTGCTCATGGCAAACCCACACGTGCTGTAAGGTGAGGCTGGGCTGAGGCTCAGGGTTTGGCTGGGGTGCAGAAGGCAGTGTTTATGTAGCCCTGCTGATGTTGTTACATGGCTACGTTTTGCACAGTGTAAGATGTAGTGAAATCCATCAAATGTTCTGAAATACGTTTAATAGTGCTTATAGCGATACCTATTTAGGCAAGTGATGTCACTTTCTTATGGAGATACCACCGTGTCATCTCCCTGCTGCCGTCATCCTCTGTAGCAGCACACAGAGTGGGTTAATAGCTCAGTTTTCTCAGCAGTGCAGTCCACTACAGAACCTTAAGAGCATGACAGCTTTAGGCTGTGTTTTCTGTACTGGCAACGCCTTTGGCGTGTATGTAATTATACTAAGGAAAACATGCTTAATTTTGTCACACACCCAACTTCAAAGTTACTGTCTTCCATTGTAAGCTTCGTCCATAGCGAGGTTTTGTAGTTGTGGGTTGATTAGTCAACAAGTATAGGTTAAGTTTAGCAAACTTCTGCTAAAGACATCCAGAGCAGTAGGAGAGGAGAAAAAATATGCAAACTTTGGCCATGCTAAAGAGAAAAAGGAGGCTGTTGTCATCCAGATGCTTGATGAGTCATACTGTTACAGGGCTTGTTCAGAGTTTGTAGTTGGTTTACAGTTTGTCTCTAAAACAAGAATGATTAATGAAGCTAGGTGTGTGATTAATTTCTGTTTTTCTGGTTATTGGGAACGGTTTTCAGCTTCATTTTGTTCTTCCTCCGTTTATGTTCAAAGTTCATTCTTGCTGCTGTCAGACGTAGGCAGCCCCGATCCCCCTTACAATTAGAGCCCGTCAGTTACCTCGTTAATACATTCGTAAGGCTCTGTGGCATTTGCAAGCCTTCACTGTTTGTATATGGGAGAGAGGAGAATTTATGATCTTAATTTAAACGAAGGATGGTTGCGCAAGGAGCAGTGGCTTGATGAGAGGAGGTTTGGGAGGTTACTGGAAACTGGGTAAAAGAGTTGGGAAGTGGATTTGATGAAGACAGGGTTTCGAGGAACCAGGACTGGACACTGGTTTCATGCATAAGGCTCAGCCTGAAAGAAGGCACAGAATAATGGCAGAAAAGGTGAAGCGGGGAGATCACTGCGAAGAAGAGAGGTACAGTGAATGCACAGACCGGCAGCGAGGCATGAGGCGGGCAGGTGGATGCAGGTTCTTGAAGATCAAGAAGCTTCAGGAAGTACAGAAGAGAGAAGGTGGCAAAGGAGCAATGGGATAGTCACAGCAAGGGGAAAGAAAAATTTTAGCCTGTGTGTTTCTTCACAATTCAAAGGGTATAGAAGGCCAAAGGCAGTTAAAGCATGGAAAGGTTTTAGCAGAGGAAAAAAAGCAAAATTCTGTGAGCTTAAAGGAGCAGTAGTAGGCTGAAGTGAAGAATGCTCTTCGAGATGTCGGGCAACACGGGGCAGGCAGCTACAGGATCGAGCCCAGCGCTTGGAGGGCTCTGTACAGAAAAGCCATGCCTGGAATCTGGGAAGAACATGAGACTGGGAAGACTAAACCTCAGGCTGATCCTGTCTGATTTCTACCAGCACCCCTGTGTCCAGTGGTTCCTGCTGCATCCGGCGGCCCCTGCGCGCTGGTAACTCGCTAACCCCTCAGTCAATGGCCTGGAGCGGAGAGAGGCCACTTGTGCGTGCAGCACAGGGGCAGTGTCTTCATAATATCGCAAGCATAGGTATCTTGTCAGGTATTGTCTGGATCCCACAAAGTTCTGGAAAAGCCATTTATATCAGCAGTCGCTGCTCCAGCAAAGCTGTTGCTATAGTGCATTTATTTCAGTCATTCAAAACAATGCATTCTTTGCTTCTAGAAGAGAAGATTAAAGTGTGGTCTTCAACAATAAAACGTTAAAAAAAATTACAGTGGCAATAAGGAATTGTTTTGTCTTTTCTTTAAAAGAACTTCAGTACTCACAAGAACACGAAATTACGAGATTGTAAAATTATATAACGTACGAAGTACATTATGTGAGCTTTCTGAGTTCCCCCCTTACACTGTATTTTTTGAATAACTGTCAGAAGTTATTGCTTTCATGGGTAAGACTAGAAAAGACTTCTAACATAAAATTGGTAATTTCCTTGGTTTAAACGGGTGTTACCAACTTTAAATCAGAGCGTGCCATTAAAATCTTGCAGGTATTCAGTGCTGGATCATGACTGTGGCCATAGCGGTGTGAACTAATAAACTCTCACCAGAGTAAAATAGAGAGGTGTTTGATAAAGAAGAGGCGTGTCATAGGCTGATCTGAGAGACTGGGTAAAAGCCTTGATAGTGCTTCCCTAGCAGAATGAGAACATTTTATGTTGCAAATTTAGCTCTTTGCAGTTCGGTTCTTTCACATAATGCGCAGCCAACCTTTTGAGGGCCAAGCACTTCTCCTCCCGACAATGCTAATGCAAAATGTCATTGATTTTTAGTAGGAAATTGTCTGTTAATAGTGAATCCAAATATGTGTCGGGGGGGGGTGGGCATATACAGGAGAGAGAAAGGCCAATCCCAGTGT